AAATCATCACTGGAAGGCGTCTCGAAGCATTTATCGCGGATATTGAAGACACCGAGCAAGCGCGCGTCGCCCTGCTCCGCTGTCTCGCAGCCTGGGCCTCATGTCTCGAAAGTGTCCTCCTCGATGTATCATACGGTTCTAAAATCGCCGAACCGGATCGATCTATCGCTATCGCTTTCTCCATCCTTCCCTCTTTGAAGGTCCTCAAATTGGAAACGGGGTGTATGCGCCCAGCGACCTTACTGGAACTCCCAGCGCTCGAAGTTCTTGAATACATCATCCTGCCAACTGACCATATTGAGGTGCCGCAGGCACTTGTGTCTGGTCTCGAGGTCTCAGGAACAAAAAGCGATGTGTGCCGTCTTCCAATGCTCCGAAGTATCACGCTTCGGTTTTTGTACAACTCTCGTTCCTCAGATAAGGTCAATAAGGCTTCCCTGAAACGTTTATATGAGGTGTGCGCCACACGGAACATCAAGCTATACTGTTATTAGATGAACGAGTCGTCACGTCACTGCGGATGACCTAGCCTTTCTGTGGCAGCAGATGAAAGTGAGCTTTGGTCTGGAGTTTCTATGTTTATTCCTTTGCTAACTGTCTTTAATTACCCTCAGATACACGGCAAATTCCAGGAATTTCCGGAGTTATGGCGGATACACATATGGACTTTGTAACCTTCGCTGGATTCCATCTCGTGCGACATTTCTAAAGCTGACAGCGTATGGTAGTATTAGTAGATTGTTACTTGTTTTAATATGTAATCCATAAGTAGTGGGCGTAGTTACAAAATGTGGCTGGGCTTTAGAGCGTGACAAATAAGGATTGCCGATCTGGACGTGCCTATAACCGTGTTGACGCCCACCATCATGGACGAGTTTTCGAGTCGTCTCTACGCAGAACTGAAGAGACACGCTCCCGTAGCGCTCCTTGACTTTAGCAATGTATTCTTTGGCGGCATCTGTATAGAATCGTCTGGTTGCGTTAACTTCTGCCGTCGAGCAAATGGATAGCAAACAGCAAGATATAGTCAGCGTAGAGTTCGACTGCACGCATATTCAAGTGCTATTGTCCCTTTACCGGTGGACAGACCACCAGCGGTATTCACATCCAGACGGCCACTATCAATCTATGCAACTCAGTGATTTAGTACCTCGAACCATACTCATCGACTTATATAGCGCCTTATCAAAAAAGCTGTAAGATGGCTGAGTGAAAATGGGAGACCATTGCTTGTGAGGACCATTGTTTTTCTCTCTGAATTAAATGTGTCTACCTAAGTACAGTCTCATTTGATTCGCTAACGGACGTTTGTGATAGGCGTTTCCGATATCGGCATTTCTTTCGACTCATTCCTTCCATCAGGCTTCATTTTACCGAATACCAGGTCGAGTTTAGCAGCCATATGACTTTCACTAGTTGCGAGGTAACTTCTCAAACAGCTCCGATGAAAAAACACTTTTCTGAAAACGGATCATATCACGCGAAATTGTAAAGAGTTGTGCGCGATCGATGGTGGCTTTAAACTTACAGTATGTCGCAACTTGTCTGAATTCCGATTGTAACTTACACAGTCGCAAACAAGAAAAATGTTAAACAGAAATAATCCGGTGTATGTACTGCGCACGACGAACTACGCGCACGGGAAATGTAAATTTAAGTCGTCCTACAATTTATGACCGGTCGCTGGAACTTGTGCTTTCCACAACAAGACGTTTCTCACGTGCTCAGTTTCGAACTCCGCTGCTCTGACTGCCTAATGAACGAGAATTCTCTCCATTGTCGACCTCCGCAGCAAGTTAGTGGCACGATGGGCAACATCTCCCTATGTCCCTTCTCAATTTTAGAGTACTTGTTTGGTGCCGCGGGTAGTTGTATTCAGCACACACGACATGTTATCGGCCTCGAATCTTGGAGACTCGCCAATGTTTGCCCGCAATCGGTCTCATTTTCATGTTGCGGCGGATGTCTTTAGATTCTACCAACTTACACCCCTTGGTTGTATTCTCGTTTTTCTTTCCTTCTGTACTGTTACCGACTTTGCTGATACATTCTCTTCGGCGCCTGTGATCAAAGCATACAAAAATAGCACATCAAGGGGAGCTCCTGCTTCTTGCACAACTATGCAGCTGGCTTTCTAGTGTGCCTCTTCAGACCCCAATCTTGATCTTGATGTACGTTGCGAGTATCAACATTTCTTCTCTAAACAATAAGAATGATGGACCTCATCAGATTTAAGGCACTGTAACGGCACCAATATACTGACGACCCACAGTGTGTCACTTACTTCGTATCGTTTGATTCTCTGATGACTGGCTTTCAATTTGCCCTTTGCTTTGAAGAACGTGTATTTCAACTCCTTTCGACATCGAGTCTCATCTATGCTCCAGGACTCATTGTCGACATTCCGCGGAAGGATGAAAGCGCTGTTCTACGTCTCAAATTGAATAGTATCTTATATATAACATGGAAGAGTTCTGAGCTGGCTTGCGAGCGCATGGATCTCATTCTAGTGCCAGCGACACACCTCCAGATTTTGCGTTCTCTTTATATTCAATTCACTGGTCTTCTGTTCTGTGGTTTTCTTCCGCTTGTCCATGTGATTTTTTTCTGCGAGTGCTATCGGTCCCGAGGTTGTACGTGTCAAGCCCGCGGCAATGGTTTTCGCTCAAGCGATGCACATGCTCCCGCCTTCCTGCTGCTACGCTCATTGAAAGATTCAACAGGAACCTGGGAACATTAAAGGCGGAGTTTATGACCCGCTGTCTTCAAACCCGAGTCGCCATCCCAATCATGACCTCGAAACCCTCAAACACCATAACTCTTTTTGCGCTCATTGCTGCAGTCTCTGCTAGGACCTTCACAGTTACCAATAACTGTCCCTTCACGATGTGGCACGTTCCTTTCTAGCTCATACTCTGACGGAACGCTAAATTGTTGCTGTCGTTTCAACAGGCCGGCGGTGAGTTTCTTCTCGACCCATTTCTGAGCTTCTATTGTATGACTCATGCCCGCTAGCTCTTTACTGACCTGAACTCTGGGACCAGCGTTCCAGATCAAGCAACTGGGTAGGACCTTTTCGTGACTACAAATTTCAAAATACTTCAATGAAACATTTCTAGCTGGGAGGCGGCGGCATATTCCTCAGTTAGCTTTACCGTCCCTGATGCTTGGACGGCAGGGCGTATCTGGGGCCGCCGAAATTGTGACTTTAGCACCGTACAAGGTCCTACGTCGTGTGCCACAGGTGGGTGCAATGGAGGACTACTGTGCGACCCGCACACTGGCACTGTTAGTCCCCTTATGCTTCGCTCGAACTTAGTACTTACTCTTCCTGACCTCATCTCGTTATTAAGGGTGTACCCCCCGTGACGGTCGCGGAGTGGACCCTCACGGGAGATGGTAATAAGGACTATTACGATGGTACGTTAATATCGTTCATCTCGCCGAAATGTCAGTGACCAGAATTTTCCTGAATTTAGTTTCTCTTGTGGACGGATACGACCTTCCCATGGCTATCACCAACAATGTCGGATGCTCCGTCGCCAATTGTCCGGTTGATCTCGGTCCGAACTGTTCGTGACAAGATCTCTTCATTTATCAGCATGAAGTTTGTACAGACACTTTTTACGTGCGTAGGTCCCAGCGCGCTCGCGGGTCCCTTCGACTCGACAGGTTTCCCCCTCGGCTGCAAAAGTGCCTGCTTTGCGAACCTCGATGGCGACCCTCGTACGTCTACTTTCCGTAGTAATCAAGTCCCTCATAATTTGACTATCTGCTCTCAGAGGACTCTGCCAACTGTTGCACGGGTTCGCATGACACGGCAGCAACGTGCCCGTCCTCCGGGGTTACGGACTATTCTTACTTCAAGAGCAATTGCCCTAATTCGTATGCATATGCTTACGATGAGAGAAGCGGCACCGCGCTCTGGACGTGCGACTCGGGCTTGGCAGCAGATTACACCCTTACTTTCTGCCCTTAAATAAAACAATGACAACCGACAGGTTCCAGTGTAAAGTGTCGATTGCTCTTGTTCCTCATTTTCTTCATTACATGGTGGTCTCTTTCTGATTTTCTGGTCGATTACTTGTTTGGGTGTAAGATAACTTGATGATTGTATACTTTGTTCCAGACATGATGAAATGTGTCCGTGAAGAAAAAACCGAGAGCAAAAAGAAAAAAAAAACGATACAATCGCTCATGCGTTCCGTATGTACATGTTGCAAAGAAGGCCATTGGGGAGACACAAATGGCGCGGACACAAAGTGGGCCAGTTTGTTTGGAAAGATTCTGTCAGGGCATTTGAAGTTTGCAACTTGAAGTTGGCGGCAGTAAACCCGTAAAACTGTGGCCAGCATACCGAAAGCCTACAGGCAGGCTCGCCAGAACGAAAGAATGCGAATTTGTCAGAACCGGCCTTATCCCTTTGATGAGGACGGTTTATCTAGAATCCATGAGGTAAATCTTGAGAAAAAGTTGAATTTCTTACGAAGACTTTGCGCACCTCTCGACAGTCAACATATCGTACTTCATGCCAGATAGAACGAGGTCGAGCTGTAGTCGGCGGCTGCTAACGGACCGACCGCTTAATAGAGTTGGTACGGGATCCTTGACAGTATAGATGTCGCATTGTCTCATCAACTTTTGCTGGCACTGTCTACGAGAATGTAATTGTCAGGTCCTTGGTTATGTAAAAAAATACAGCAAGTTCCCATCAGCAGTCTCTTCTATGGGCTTTTGTGGCTCACCCTGTTACCTCTTGACAGCACTCATAAGGATCCCATATCATAATGGCGGCTCTCCAACTCCTTCGATGCCTGATGTATATCCGACTCGCCGAGTCAAGCTTCCTAGCTAACAACGCGAGCACTGTCTGAAAATCGCTGATCGAATCCTTGTTGATGTTAGTCAGGATCGGTCGGGTTGAGTAAAGATTAGCAATCCGAAAGGGAGAAAGCAATCCGAAAGGGAGAAGAGAGTCTCACAAGAATTTGCATATAAATGGCAATAGTGTAGTGGTCATCATCGGGATTTTGATTTAGTTCCTAGAGGCAATCTTCCCGGAACCCAGGTTCGAACCCTGGTATTGCCTGCCTTGAGCCGGTCAATGCCTATCTAGCTCGAGTGCGTCGGGCTGGGTCGGCTTGGCCATTTTTCCTCTTCTTTTCTTTTCCCTATAATGTTTTTTGACTACCAGCTATCGGATGTTCTAAATGCAGGTGTGCCGGATTTTCGTGCATAATGTGTGTGCAGACCAAATGACGGTCTATGAGAGTGCAGAGTGCCTGTATAGTTATACATGTCTAGTATACAAGTAGCTTTGATCCGAGATGAACAGAGAGGTCTAACGAGACCTTGAGACCTCGGCTTAGAAAGCGGAATCATCCTTGGAATGCGACACCTGTTTTCGATGACTCAGCCAACCCGCCGCCCGCATAGCCCGTACCTAAAATGCAAACCAAAGTTGACACAGACATTCACGATTAGAAAGAAAGTGTATGAAAAGAAAGGTAGTAAGTGTACGCACCCTCCCGCTTCAGCTCCACAATTTTCTCTGTCGGGGCTTCCTTATCGCACACCACGCATTGCGACGACGGGCGCACGAGTGTCTCTGTACACGTCTTGCAGACGATGTGCGAGCAGGATGTAAGTACTGCCCTCACAAATGATTAGCCGGAATAAATTACAGGAGGCACAGATTCGACGCACAAAACATTATATTTGAATTAGACAACCCTTTCTTACACGAAGGACAGATCGCGTCGCGCCGGTCGGCGGCATTCTTCACATCGGGCGGAAGGTCTTTCGGGTAGGTGAATTCGACAGGAACTAGTGATTTTAAGCTGCCAATCCAAGAACCAAACGTATTGAATAGAGGCATGGGGAGGTTTATCAAGCAGACATACGAGATCTCATGGGCGTCTTTCCCGCTTTTGCACGTCGTGACGACTTTGACCTCTTTCAAATCCTTTGGCGGACCCGTGCTCGTGTATGTTGGCGTGAGCGATGGTAGCCAGAAGTCGGGCAACTTCGCCTTCAGCGCGTCCGCCTGCTCGAGCTTGATACGCTTGAGCGCGACCGCTTCTGCCTCCGCGGCAAGCCGATCAATGTGAGTCGGAGAGAAGCTGAGATCGTGCTTGCGCTTCGTCCCGCGAGCTGTAAGTTAACATGACAGAAACGGTTCAAGCGGGAGCGTAAGACGGGTTAGTTTGGCGGACGTACGTTCTTCAGCGCCGTCCTTTTCCTCCTCTTTTCCTTCCTCGTGCTTTTCCACCTCCCTCTTATTCTCTTTCACGGCACCCGACGTTGATGCAGCGACCACCCCGCCCAAACCCAATTGACCGCGCTCGAACTCCTTCAGCACACGCTCGCGCGCCTCGGCTTGCACGCGCAGGCGCTCCGCCTCGGCCTCCTTCTTCAGCGCCTCGAGCTTCGCCTTCTGCCGCTTTATATCCTTCTTCTGCGACACTGCATCATCCGTACCTATCAGTTACCGTACACGCGGATCGGGAAGACAAAGCAGCGACGAACGTAGGTCCGCGTAGATGCATTCCTTGCAGAAGAGGTGCCCGTCGTTGCAGGAAACGGGGTTGCGCGCCTTCTGCAGGCATAGCGCACATGCATCGTATTGGCGCATGGACTCGTGTCCTAAGCGTTGCTAGACCGTATGAAGGATCACAAAACATTCAGGACATCTCCCTCGCGTTACACAGATTCAACCTCAAACGTACGCGTTGGGTGCCATAGTTGAGTCTCTTGTATTCGTGATACGAGAAAATGGACGATGCGGTATTGTTCTTGCTGTGTTTCGTCATGAGAGCTCGTCAGACCGGATGATCCAGTCAGAGTATTTGAGAGCCGAATGACGGCGATTCCGAGACTGGTGTTGTACAGCGCTTATGTAATGGTAAGGGTAAACAAGACTCAGCACGTCTGTCCTTTCGGTACATGTACAACGAATACGCGTCCTTTGCAAATTCAACCATCGCCAGTGCGCGGCGAATCTGAAATTAGTGACTGCAGTGGTTATACTTTTTATGCACGGTGAGAGATCACTGTTGCATTGATTGTATTACTTACGTTAGGTCATTGAAATATCTTTTGTCGGTTTGTCGGTTTCTTTGTTCCAAGGCACTCGCAATTCTCGATTGATGACATTGTGACCCCAATAAGTTTCTCCGGGGTTGAGATAAACACATATCATCTCCGACCCGTTTCTCGTCTATTCAATTCCTCGGCCACGCGCAAGGTCTACAGAGTTTTATCCTTATCACAAAAGACACCGATAAGTACGAGTCGATCATTATAAGCAATACATCAATCATTGGAATGGGCGCTTTCTAGTCATAGTCATCTCTCCTTCTGTCTTCGTGGTGGAACTCGCAATGGCTGCCTCAGTCGACATCGCTGTTCTTCCTCGGGTTGAGGAGCCCGAACTCTCCGCCTCTGATCAGCGACTCGCGGAGTTGGGTTACAAGCCGAGTTTAAGCGCGACATGTCGCTTTTCGGCGTGCTTGGGATGTCAGTTCTGCGCGATTGGCATCCTTACGGGCATGAGCAGCGCGTTCCAGACAGGTCTCTTTTCCGGTGGGCCGCTAGGGCTCTTCTGGGGCTGGAATGTACGTGTTTAATCGGGCACCACTTGTCGGTCTGAATGGCACTTGCTATGTTAAATTGACTTGTGCCTGCTTGGCTTGGCTTTATAAACGCTCAGATTTGCAGCTTCTTCATGCTCCTAATTGCCATGTCTCTCGCCGAGATCTGCAGCGCCTAGTGCGTCTTCCTTAAAGCTTGAATGCTGGGGATGTATCTGATATGTATGCATAGCCCGACGAACGGTGGACTCTACTACTGGGTGTCAAGGATGAAACCTGACTTTGCCTTTATTGGATGTACGAGCATTGCTCTGGCTTGCAATGAAGTGATTTATTTCAATCTCTAAGTTTGCACAGGATGGTTATATACCGTGGCCATGATTTTCACTGGGACGTCCGGAAACCTCAGGTAAATCTCGATTCGTGAACGTCTGAAGATCTAAATCTTTTTTCTATAGTACCGCACTCTATATCGCTTCTCTCGCAGAGGTGGGTTCGGGTCGGACACTGACACGTGTCGAGATCGCCGCAGTCGCTTGGGGCGTGAACGTCTTCTCCGGGGTCATCAACACCGTCGGTACGAAGGCAATTGGGCGCATGAGCGCGTTCAACGTGTGGTGGACACTCGGAGGCACGGTTGTACTCGTCGTAACTCTTCTCGTGAAGGCGCCTGTGCTGGTATGTCTCTGAGGTTTTTCTCTTCTAGATTCGTGTAGAAGCATATGCTAATGACAGGGACTCTGAAAGAACTCCGCCGAGTTTGTGTTCACTGATTTTGAGAAGTGAGTTTTCCTATTGATGCCATTTAACTATTTTCAGGACTAATGATATCGATATGCAGCTTTACCGGCTGGGAGTCCAAAGGCTTTGTGGTTCTTTTAGGGTTTCTACAGGTTTGCAAAGTTACCATCATTTCTATACCTTCACTCGATCGATCCACCATTTCCTATAGGCCATCTACTCCCTTGAAGGCTGCGAAACCGCTGCGCAAGTTGCAGAAGAAGCCACACGAGCGGAGCTTCTTGCACCTTTGGGGATAGTTACCTCTATTATCGGCTCATGGCTCGTCGGGCTCGCTTACATGCTTGCTCTCCTGTACTCTGTCCAAAGTATTCCGGCCATCGAATCCACCTCTCTCGCGCTCCCCATCTCTCAGCTCTTCGTTGACGCTGTGGGTACGAGACTGGCGCTACTATGTCTAGTCGTTGTGGGCCTCGCCCAGGGCATGGCAGCGGCGACAGCATTCACAGCAAGCTCGCGGCTGCTGTATGCTCTCGCCCGGGACGGCGCGGTTCCGAAGTGCGTGAGGGGTCAGTTTATGAAACTGAATAACGGCCAGGCGCCATATGTCGGTGTATGGGTGAGCGTAGTTTTAGGATGCGTAATATCTTGTGCATACATCGGGAGTACTGTCGCGGTGGGTATTTGATACGTATCTCGCCTCTCAAGAGAAACTGATACTCATTCCTTGGCTCGGAGATAGTTCAACGCCATACTTTCCTCGGCAGCAGTGTCAGTAATGCTGAGCTATCTGCAGCCGATCATCATCCGCGTTTTCTGGCCTTCATCGTAAGCAGTAAGTCCGTAATGTAATAAACGAAGCGACTGACAGGTAGACACTTGGTATTTTCTCATTGTGAATCCAGAATGACCGAGCGTGGTCCTTTCCACCTCGGCGCATGGTCGTGGTCGATCAACTGCGCGAGCTTCCTCGTACGTGCCATATATTTCTGGATTCCACATTGCCACAGTTTACTGAGCATGTATGTATGTTTGGTATGTGTGTATGCAGTTTACCGTCCTCGTCTGCATACTGTTCATCCTCCCGACTGCACACCCAACAAATGCACAGAATATGAACTACGCCGTCGTCGCCATCGGCGCGCTCCTCGTCCTCACTGTACTTGCGTGGGTCGTCTGGGGACGGATGCACTTCCACGGGCCGGTGAGGACGATTGACGCTGATTCAGGAGAGCGGATAGCTCCGGAAGAGAAAGAGGAGGATAGGAAGTCTGCGTCTGAGAAGTTTTGACTAGCACATGGCGTCGCCGAGGATTTAACTGTTCTTATCATAACGGAATTTCTTCTTTCGATGTAGAAAAACTGGGAAAACAAAGTGCGGCTTGCGCATCGCACCACTCACGAGAACTTTATTTGAACTTTGGTTACACTTATTTTTAGATTATTTGTCTCTGGACTGCGGGAATCCAGATTAGAATCTGTGTCTTTTAGGTCTGAGACAACCTTGTTCCCTCCTTTTTAAATTAAGTAACAAACAAACTGTGATACTTTCTGCGAATCCGCTTCGGTATTCTTTATCGGTTTAATTGCACACACGGAACAAGTGCATTCGATACTCCACGATGCCACGAACGCCTCGCATCCGACGCGTCGGAATCACGTGAGGCAATGAACCTCGCACATGGCTCTCACGGTGCCGCAGAACACGCCGCTCTGCGCCTCTCGCGACGTACGCACTCATTCTTTTTTCGGGCAC